TGTCCTTCTATCCATCACATAAAAACGAGCAGATTAGGTACTGACCAGAAAATGCTCGATCATCTTTCTCGAAGCTGTCTGAGGTCCTTGCTTTGACAATAAGACGACGATCCACCCGGACGGGATGCTTCTTTTCCAATGAACGGGCTGTTCGATCCTTGTTCGATGGGCAGGTCAGCTGAACAAAAGGCTTATACTGTTCAAAGTTGCCAAAGGACAACACTACTGCAAACATTCCTTTGTTGGCAAACGCGAAAAAAACTACTCACTTTTACCACCCTGTTCTTTACTAGCTGTCTTTCAAGAGGAATTGAAGGCAATGCATTGCGCGCTCACTACCCAATACGAATTTTTTAGACGCAGTCGCGATTGCCTGGACCGGCGACTTCAGACTGTACTATTACCACGTCTCGAAAGTGAGCGATTAGTGCTCTGGAGCACCTATTCGCCATAGAGGCTCCGCCCACCACCGGCTGCACAACACAGAGATGAAGGTCGACACGAAAGCATTGGTGCCTGTTATGTGGCGCTCCACTTTCACTCTTTGTCTCTGGTCTCTCGCCCCTGGTGCCTGACAAATCATAAAGAAAACAAGGTCTCAGACATTCCACTTATTTTATTCTGAAAACTGCTACTTTCTGGCGCAGCTTATGAAAGTGTTTTCCTCAACACAATCGAGAGCAAAGGCTGGTCTTAGTTTATCGCATTTATACTTTGAAATGCTTACCTGGGGACAGTCGTCATCTGGACAGACAGCCACCATGCAGACGACGTCGATCTGTTCGCTTCCGTCTATGCGAAAGGCTGATAACGACGACTCCCATCCCATTTGACCCATCACCATTGGGGCCATCAATGACGGAAGAAGGGCGCATCTAAAGTTCCAACGGTATAAAAGCGCCCTCAGTATGGATTAAGTCAGTTCACAACTGCATGGCATAATTTCCTCGACCACGCTTTATGCGAAAGCCAAAACGAAAGTCTTTTCTGGGACGGATGTGTACATAGAAGGGAATTCAATGATTTGCTGCACATATTTCGGTATTTTTCGTCAGAGCGGTTCCATTTACAGTTCGTCCTCTACCACGCTCACGCTTCCACTATCAAATTGGAACTGCGAGGGCCAAATTTCTATAGCCACCATTTCTTCCTTGGTTCTGATGCCGGTTATTCGGAACTAGGTACATCTGTTGGCTAACAGAGAGCTGATTTCTTCTACAGAGGCTGGCGACCGCAAAGCATATTAGCATACTGGTTGAGAATGGTAGGGATGGGGCACAGGGCACATCATCGTTGGGGATTCCTCAATGAGAGGGTCGTATATGTCTGAGAGAAGTTGTTGGCTTTCGGTGGTTTCTCCTGGTTCATATGTACTACATATTCCCTCGCCCGCTCGACAGCAAAATTACTGCGAGAAGGTGAAAGAATTTTCAGGGAAATTCCGGAAAAACTGGTAGGAATCTTGGAAAATCTAAGAAAGTGGCAAATAGGATGGGGAAAGGACGTATTTTTTCGCGATTTTTTCCGTTT